GACACATCACAACTTTAGATAGTCTTACCAGGTCACTCAAACTGTATGAAGGGAAAGAATTATAGTTCCCCAGATCCTGTAGTAGGTATATTAAAGGCTCATTCCATTAGACATCATTAGCCTTCATTTTTTTCCCATGTGCAGACTTAATCTCAGTACCAAAGAATCCTTCCTATCCTGGCAAATAATTATTTCTCCTAGAAATTCTAGAATGGTTCTCTAGAACTGAAATGTCAGACATGCTGCCTGCCTACATGTGGCCAGTAACATGTGACCTGAACCAATTTAAAATGTAATTGGGAACTATTTAACAAAATAAATAAAAAATACAATAAAACATAAATAACTTTACATTTTAAAACTGAGTCAATATGGGCCCAAAGGGATTCTTAAGTATGGATTAGTGGCCCCATTTCTATTTGAGTTTGATATCATTACTCTAGAATATAGACAAAATGACATTATAATAGAACTTATATGTATTTGGAAGTTTTTACTCATGGATATGTAATTTTGTGTTGAATTTTTGAATGGCCCAAAGACAGTTTACGAAGAATGTATTTTTAAAGCATTTCTTAGAGAGCTATTGTGATCATAGTTGAAGATAACATGGTCTCTAGATATTTTTCCTCTTCCATATCTGTCCATCAACTTAAAAAAAATGTAACTATAATTGAAGAAGAAAAAAAGAAATGTAGAAAATATTAAGGACTTGTAAATGAACAGTTTTTTTTTTCCTTCAGCTTGCTCCAGACCAAGGACTCCAACCTGCAGATCAGCCAACAGATATGAGACGCAGGTGTGAAGAAGAAGCACAGGAAATTGTTAGGCATGCAAATGCATCCACAGGACAACCCTGTGTTGAAAATGAAAACCTTACTGAATTGATTTCTAGACTTACAGCGATATTATTACAGATCAAGGTAAATCACTGGGAAATTTTTCGTTTCATGCTAAGAATAATTTTAATTTTTGTTGCTAAATTATTAGTTGATTATATTTTTAATAAGTTTTATATTTTAGCAAATAAGCTATAGTTAAGTTTGAAATTTTCATTTCTTTTAGTGTCTAGCAGAAGGAGGTGACCTGAATTCCTTTGAATTCAAATCACTTACTGATTCACTAAATGACATTAAGAGTTCAATAGATGCTTCCAATATCAGGTAATTAATTTTTACTTCAATCTTATTTTGGATTTACTCTGATATTAAGCTGTCATGACATTTCTTTATACTTATTTATTGAAAATAATATGCATGCCTGGATCTAAATTTTTTTCTACTGTTAACATCCTTTAAATAAATTTAAAATAGTTTTTCATTGACAGAATCTGCTGACAGAATAGGAACTTAATGCTGTTTTCTTTTACACAAAGTTTTCACTGAGTTACAGGTAACAAGTATACCATCCTACTTGATCTGTTTTTAAAAAATATATATTGAAGTATTGCTTCATAAAGTTGATTAGCTTATAAAGTATACACAGTAGTAGTATCCTTATTTAAGTATTGCTTCAGTGTAATTGTAGCTAATGTGTTAATGGGAGGGAATTTAGTTTTCCCTCATGTCAACTCATTCTCTTGGCCAACTCCTAAGTAACTTTTCTGACTTTTTACTTTTTTTTTTCCAACATATTCCTTTGAATTCTGAAATATGGTTAGTTAACTGTGTTTTTTTTTTCTTTCATTAGTTGTTTTCAGAATAATGTTGAGATCCATGTTGCACATATTCAGAGTGGCCTGAGTCAGATGGGAAACTTACATGCCTTTGCAGCTAATAACACCAACAGAGACTGAAAAGAAGGTTTAATTATTCCAAATGTACCAGACATAGTTTTGGAAAATCTTGCTCCATTATACAGGCTTTCAACACCAAATAACCTATCTATCTGCTGGTAAACGAGAAGAAAGACTCTCCCAAAAAAGGCATTTTAAAAATACTGTGCTGCTTCATAAACCAGCATTAATGACCAGCATTATATTTATTTTATTGTTTATTTTACAAGTACAAGAGCTTTGCTTAAGTTACGTATGTTTATTAGCAAGTATTGTTTTAAACTGAAAATGTCTGAATATATTTTAATATAACTTCAACAAAGACTATATAAACCATTTTTAAAATATGAACGAATGTAATACAACTCATGCAGACAGGTCACAGTGGAAAAATGAGAAGAGAAAGGGTCTTGGTGCAAATCAGTGGCTAAATGGATGGAAGTTGCTTCATCTAGAAAACTACAACTTTATTTGTTCTAATTGGTTGCCATATCTCGGATCTTCAAAAGATGATCAAATGAGGTGTGTGAATTCCTAGTTTTAAGGATGCCACTGGAATATGGATAGAAAAGATGGACTATAAAAGTGGACGTGATGTATGTTTGAGAGTGTGGTATAGTTCTATAGATCAGTTAATAACTTTTGAAATGTGTTAATTTATCATAATTTATGAAAGAAGCCTTTGTCTTTTGTCTGTTGAAGGAAAATGAAGGAGCAGAAAAAGCGTGCTGCAGAATGCCAAGTCCCAATGAGAGGATTTGGCATGTCTTTTCCTCTCAGTTCAGGGCAAAAGGTGCTTTTGTTTTGGAATTTATAAGAATGACTGGTAACACACTATTTTCATATTTTTGTTTGTTTGCACAACTTTTAAATTTAGATAACTGGTTATAATCTAATAGTATACAACTTATATAAAGACTTTTATAAAGAAAACAAAAATAACCAGTGCTATGAAACATAGAGGAAAAAAAGTTTTAAGAAAGGAAAAACTTGCCTAGGCTATCCTGGAATGTTAATCTTGTAAAAAGTATGTATTTGGATTTTCTTTTTGTTTAATATAGAGTATTATAAAGTTTCAGTGTAATAATTTTTTTCTAGATTTGGAATTTAGGAAATAGTTGTAGAAGTGGTTTTGATTCTTTTAGATGTCTCATAAAATGAGACTTTTTGTATGTTAATGTATAAAGAAAATTTAAACAAGGTTATTTTCAATTTGAAAATTTTGTATAGTTAAAAAAAATGCTTCTGTATTCCTTGTTGGTATGGTGCCACTGCAGAACTTTAGGGCAGAGTATATATTTAGCTAAACTATTCAGTTAATTAAGAAATCCATAAATCTTTTATTCTCAATGACATTTGTAATTATAAATAAATTGACCTATGAAAGTTGGTATTTTTCTAAAAATCTTATTTAATAAACAGAACTATTCCCTGACATAGAAAAGTTTTGCAATTGTGCATTAACGGTAAATCAGTATTTTGGGGGGAAACCATAAAATTAATCCAAGTCATTTGGAAGTAAGAAGTTAATGCCCTTTAATAGTGTTGGTTGTGGCTAGTTATTTTTCACATATTGGTGAATAAGATTCTGTTTGTTATATTTTACAGTGGAAACAAGTGAGTTATTCCCTGGTACATAGCCACAGATTGGCCATGTACTTTTTGAAGTCTTCCTAGAACTCTCTAAGCACAATTGAATATGTGGTTGAACTAGAAGAGGGCAGTTCTTCCTTGTCTTCAAAATAGTGAAGCTGTTTTTAACAAGCATATCAAAACATATCTATCCAAGAGTGTTGTCCCCTTCAGCATAGTTACATCGAGAAGCTATTTGTTGGATTCCAGTAATGCTGTCATTGTTCAACGTGTTTTTAGAATTGTCTTTAAAGTCAGTTAGCCACACAGAGGAAATAAAAACATACGTTATTTGAGGGTCACATTTTAGTTTAACTCAAAAGAATATTAGCCAGTTTGATCATCTGTATTCATCTACTCCAAATGGTTTCTTTCTTTTTATAAAAAGCAAATTCCCTTTCAAAAGAGGAAGATGTGCCACCATTGAAGATTTTCAAAAGAATATTCTATAGGCCCTATAGATTATTCCAAAGGGAGTTTGAAGAATGTTTTGAGCAATAACAGCCTTTGAGAATATACTTATTTTAAAAATGGTGAGAAATCTATTCATAATTTTGATACAACAGATAACTTAGCCCCAATAAATACCCAAACAAACCTCCTTCTTACTAAGTCAAAGATGACTACTTTTGGATGGATAAATTTTTTATTGTTTTTGTTTAATCATCATTTTAATTTTATAGTCACACCCAGTACTAATACTGGCCAAATGAGTTGGAATTACAGAAAAATGTGTCATTTCATATTTAACATGGACTTGAAGTCAATTTTAGTTAAATGTTTCAGAACTCTGAATTTGCTGCTAAACTCAAAGCATTGTCATCGTATCCGAACTGCCCTAGAGTGCTATCCATTTTTTACTGCATTTGATTATTGGATTTCAACAGCAATATGTTTGAATAAAACCTTTATTTCCATGAGAATCAGCTACACTTGGCTGTATGCAAGATGAAACATAACAGGAATGAATGTAAAATCTTGCATTGGGGTTCAAAAACATAAACTGCCCAGATATCACTAGAAAGCAGTTGATGTGATAAAGACCAAAAGGTTTTGGTGAACTTTTAAGTTAAATATGAATGAATGTGTTACCGTAAGCCCAGTGTACAGAATGAGGAAGATGACAACCAAATGTAATCTGCTTTGCTCAGATCACACCTAGACTAGCCTGTCCAGTCCTGTGCCCAATTTTGAGGAAAGACATTGATAAACTGAAAGGAATCCCAAATTTTGAGATGTGTAATCTGGATGCTTGCAGTGGGGGGAATTTTGGACCTCAATTTGAGTGAAATGGGGATGCCTTAAATGAAAGAATTGGAGGCAGGGTGGGGAATAAACACGATAGTTGTCTTCAGGTAAAAAAGCTTATCACATAGAAGACTAAAGTCAGTCATTCTGCTTGGACCCAGATACCAGCACTAGAGCCAATGGGAAGAGGCTACAGGATGTGAATTTATTACAGTTTTAAAGAAAAATAAAGTCAAGCAGGGCAGCTTGGTGGCACAGTGGATAGAGCACCAGCCCTGGAGTCAGGAGGGCCTGAGTTCAAATGTGGCCTCAGATAATTGACACTTAACAAGCTGTGTGACCCTGGGCAAATCACTTAACCCCATTGCCTAGCAAAAAACAAACAAAACAAAATGCAGTAGTCTACCATATAATGTTAATAGAGGTCTTCTAGCAGAGATAGAATAATAAATAATTTATCAAGTATATTGTATAGAGAATTCATGCCTCAGCTGTGAGGCTTGAAACTAAGCAAGCTCTGGGGTCCCTTCTAACTCTAAAATTTGTAGCATTTCTTCCTAAACATTAACAGTGCTTTCAGAGTCTCATCACACTTTCCTGGAATCAATATGACAAGTGTGTCTAGTTCTTTTCTATGTTCTTTGTATAATTTAAAACATGGGTTACAGGCAAACTTTGATATAGTTAGATTTTTAAAGTTTACTTAGTTAAATTCTTGAGGTTTTAGAAACTCAAAAATAAACACAGTTGGGTTTCTATTTATAAACAGTGCTATACTTATATCAGTAGTTATTAATTTGGGAGGGACAAACCTTAAAAAAAAATACCTTCATGGAGGCTTTCTTGAAAGGAGAAATGACTTTTTTTTCCTTTTAAACAAAGCTATTCCCCAAACTACTAATCTCTGTTATGTTAGTTAATACTAACTGTGTCAACCCCATCCCAGTCTGTCCACCCCCCTCCCCCATGCCGACAGGTGTGTATATTAAAGTTTCATGTCATCATCTGCATTTATTGAGTATCCACTGTGTGCAAAGCACTGTATTAAGTGCCGTGGCATAAAAAACATCAGCGTCAAAATCATGTAACCTAATCAAAGTTCTGCAAAAGTACAATCCATATTCACAAGTGCTAAGGATAGTGCTGAGGTGGCTGAAGCAAAATAGGATGTCAAAAGTGTCTCAAGGTCATTCTTGACCCGTATTTTCAGAAAGCGGTTTTGTTTCTCCATTAAGAATAGCATCTCAACAATAGCTTCAGTTTAAGGAGATAGTTTGTGGGTGGGGGACAGGAAGCATATTAGTTTGTATCATGTAGGCTAAAAAAACCCCACAAAGGCTTTAATTTGGTAGAAGGTGATTAGGAACTACCATATATCTCTAAAAAGTAATGTGATAGCTGGGATAAGGCATTCTTTACTGTGGATTCTAGGTAAGATTTGAAAATTGGGCTCCTTATGTATTGTCCTTCAGCTGCTTTGGGGCTTTTACCTGTGTGGAGTGGAATTTTCTGACCTTTAAAATGTGTATATATTTTTAAAAAATTATTAACAGGTGTCCCTAATTGTGATGGCCCTACATGTTGCACCCAAGGCAGCCACTTAATTTGTCTCTTTTTTTAGACTTAACAGCCCAGAGTGACACAAATTAAGATAACAGTGGAAAAGCCAGAGGCAAGGAGGTGGTCAGGGCACCAAAGGATTTCAGCCTGGACTAAGGCTGTGATTATGAATAGAGAGAGGAGGGCCTAAATCCAGAAAATAGCAAGATTCACAGATAGTCCAGGAGGAGTGATATACAAAGATGACAGACACTAAGACTTAGAGGGGCAGTAAGGTTGAATGCTAGTGATGGCAATGGAGAAGCTAAATCAATAATAATACTAGCTGGTCCTTATAACAGCATGTTAAGTTTACATAGCACTTTACATATGTGGTCTTATTAGACTCTCACAACATCCCTGTGAGGTAGGTAGTCCTAGGTATTATTACCGTCACTGTGACTTGCCCACAGTAGCCATGTGCTCACATAACTATTTATCAAAGGTGGGATTTGAAACCAGACTTTGCTGACTTTTAAAATCCAGCACTTTTACCTACTTTGCTTCACTACAAATGAAACAAGACTTATTTTTGAGGAGAAGTCACCGAACCCCAGAGAGCCAGTTGGAAATATTGTGTTAACAGACAGAAGTATAGATTTGGCAAGGAGAAGAAAGGATGGGCCTGGGATATGCAAGTTTGGTTTGTAAAGGCTGAGTAAATGAAGTCTGAAAGTATAGGAAAACACAAAGACGTGACTAAGAATTAATAGTTGAGAAGAGGGCCCAGACAAATGAGACACAGAACTAAGAGCATTAATTTGAACTAAGAACTAAGAGAAATGAACCCAGTGGCCTTAAGGTGTAGGCCAGGAAGAAGAGATGAAACTCTTGATAGGTCTCTTGATCCATGGTTATAGTCCATTGTCCCTGTCCAAAATCATAGGCCAAGATTTTCCTGTGATCTCGGTCAAGAGTTGCTGAAAGTAGATAAGATGCGCTCCTCCCATAAGTCCAGCTTTGAACCACTGTTTTCAGATATAGGGGGAAAGCTTCCAAAACTCTGTCCTTGGCTGTTGGGGCCAGAGAGCCCAGCTCCACCCCTACTTGGATCAGGCAGGCAGTTCACCTCTACCTCAAGAGGCAGCAGGGGAACCAAATGCTCCCCTTCGGTTCCAAGAGGAGGGTGGTTGAGAAAAAGATCTCGTCCTGCTGAGGGATTATAGGACTTTCCTCTCTGCCGACGGGATTTGGCACGTCTGTTCTGGAACCAGACCTAGGAGAACATGAGGAGAAATTTGCATTTGATCTAAGTTTTTACTAGCACTGTGGGAGATCACAACTCAATAAATTATTAAATTCAATACAAAGCCATGTGATTTAATAGAAAGAGCTGGGGACCCGTCGGCTGATTTGGAATGTCACTTAATTCTCTTATGCTTCACTTTCTCCAACTGCCAGATAAGTACTTTTGTGTCTTATGGAGATATTCGGAGCATGAAGTGAGATCATTTATGCAAAAAGTACTTTTGGAGACGTAAAAGTATGCCATGTTTTTTAGAAGATACTTTAAAGATAACAGATAAAACTTTTCCCCAGAAGCTTTTTTATAGAGTTCTATAAAAATACAATAAACATACCATCAGCATTAAAACAAAAACAATAAATTTGCCCTAGGCTCTGTTCTCATTTGCCCTTTTTATCATTTCTCTTTTGGAGATATAAGTTCTTCCCATGGTTCAATTATCACTGCTATGCAGGTGAACCCCAAAACTATTATCTCTATCCCTAAATTTTGTCCAGAACTTCAGTTGTAACATTTCCAGCAGCATGTTGGAAATTTCCACCTAGTGGTCCATCCAGCACCTTAAACTTGATGCATAAAAAAAAATTCATCACCTTCCCCCAGACTTGTCCCTTCTCTTCTTCCTGCTTCTCTTCCTTCTCCTACTCTTGCTCCTCCTTCCTCTTTCTCTTCCTCATCCTCTTCCATTTACTATTTGTATTGATGTCAACTGTGATCAATCACCTGGGTTCACAACTTAAGCCCTCTTTGGCTTCTCCTTCCTTACTCTCCATACCCATTTAAAGTGATCAGGCTTTAGCTTCTAGATCCTGCTTCCTAACATATCTTCCCTACCTTTTCACTCCTACCATACTTACCCTTACTTAGTGGCTTCTCTTAACTAGTTGTCTTGCCTCCAGCCTATTCCTGATCCAATCCATCTTTTACATCATTGAAGCCCCAGTAAATCTTCCTAATGTACATTTCTAGTCCTGTCACTCAAAAACCTCTATTGATCCCCAATTGCCTACCAAATTAAGTATAAATTCAGCCTGGCACTCAAAACCCTTCATGATCCAGCTTTATCTAGCATCTATTCCAACTTTATTCCATACAGTTCTCTCACCCTTGCCCCATACACATAACCCATATTCCAACGAAAACTTACTATTTATTTTCTTTCCATCATATTCCCCATTCTTATCCTACTGTAATCTATCTTTGTCTAGTCCTTTCTGTGCTTTAGTTTTCCTCCTTTAATTGGATTCCCTTCACTCCTTTAATGTTTCAGCTAGAATGCTGTCTCCCCCATTAGTGAGGTCCTTCTAACTCCTTTGAAAACACATTGTGTCACATCCACCTTTTTCTCTGAACTGACTCACAATGTGTTCTTTCTACTTGATAGACGGTTAATAAATATTCCTTTAATGGAAATATTGGGCATCTAAAGGTGTCCACCATGGCAAGAATTCACTGGCATGCATGTTCCCCAAGCTCCCACCCTTCCACAAAAATAAAACAAAAAACAAAACCATTCACTATATAAACACTTTAAGGACAGGAACATTTTTATCTTTGTAACCCCATTAACTAGGGCAGTTCGTGGCACATGTAGATGCTGGAAAATATTTGTTAAATTGAATCTACTTCATCTTGACTTCTTAGTTACTTCAGACAGGTAAATAGAAAAATTACACATAGTAGAAATATTTGTTCAATTGAATTGAATTAACTGAGAAAAAATACTGTAGGATAGGAATAAGACCCTAATCACAAAGGGGCATTTTATAAATTAGCTCACATTTCTATAATGCTCTAAGATACTTGCCATACAATAATTCTGTAAGGGAGATAATGCAAATGTTATTTTTCTTATTTTACAGATGAGGAAGCTAAAGCTTAAGAGAGCATTATGCATAATATAGGTATTAAATTTATAAATTTGTACTTGATAATAGCATTTATATAGCACCTTAAGGTTTGCAAAGCACTGTCCATATGTTATCTAATTTGATTCTCAATTTCTGCTATGTATATTTTATATATTTATTAGCCTAATAAAATGTATATATGTATCTATTAAATTTATATTTATGCTTTTAAAAAATATATACTTGTTTTGTCCCCCATTAGTATGTAAGTTCATTACAATTAGAGATTGTGTCATTCTTAGCACAGCACCTGGTAAGTGCTTAAAAAGATGATTGATTGACATTAAGTGACTTGCCTGTGGTCACCTACCCAGTCTCTTGATTCCAGGTGAATTCAAGTGATTTTTCCACCATCCCTCACTGAGCACTTTCCCATTTGAGATATCCCAGGAACTAATCAGAAGTATCCTATGCCCCATTCTTACATACATTTTATGTGCCGCCCCTCCTCCCATCCCTTTCCCACTACTAGAACTTAACTAATACAAAATTCTGCATATGGCCCTAGCCTGGAAATCTCTCCCAAAGCCCTGGAATTTACACCAAATCATTACATTCTGAAGAACAAGAACCAGGCACTCAGTTCCCAACAATGAGAGGTCTCTCCCCAGCATTTTCCCTACCTTTTCCCTTCTCAGCTTTTAACAGGTGTGTCACTCAGAAGAAGTCCCAACCTACCTTTCCAGTCTGAATGTACATTGCCCCCTTTCACACACACTGAGTGTACACAGACAAATTGGCCTTTTATGTCTCAATTAGGGGGCAATGCAGATTTCGGGAGGCATAGCGAATAGTAGTAGTGGCCTTGGAGTCAGAGTTCAAATCCAGCCTCACAGAGTCACTAGCTGTGTGACCCTGGGCAAAGTCACTTAACTTCTGTCTGCCTCAGTTTCCTGAGCTGTAAAATGGGGGTCATAATAACACTTACCCTGCAGGGGTCATAGGGATCAAGTGAGATAATATTTGTCAAAATGCCTGGCACATAGTAAGGGCTGTATAAATGCCTGTTTCCTTTTCCCTTATTCTCACCTCCAAATAGCAGACTCCCATCTTTTGTGTCCATGTCTTTGCACTCCTTCCTCACCTGTCTCTCAACATCCCTGGTTTTCTTCACAGCTCAACTCAGATTTCACTTTACCTGAGGTTCTTTCTGATCCTTCTCTTTAAAAGCACTTTTTATCTATTTTGTATAAATCTGCATGTATACCATAGTTCTATAGACATTCCCTATCTGCACCATAAACTCCCTGAGGGCAGACACTGTTTCCTCTTTTGGCTTTTTATCCCCAAAACCTGGCACCTGTGGGCCCTCCTTTAGTGCTTATTTGATTGATCACAGGAGAGGGGAGCAGCTACTAGAAAATTCTGGTCTCCCTTATCCTGGGCCCTACCTTAAAGAAGTATCAATTTAAGAATACTTCCAAGGACCAAGCAAATTTCTTCAGACCTGGTCCTTCTAGTATTATTAGCAAAGGTACAGATCCCTCTAAGAGAAACCTCTTCTAACATGACTAAAACCCTGACCCTCACCCCAAGCTGTTAGATCAGTGATAAACATAAAGCAAGCAATTAAAGGCCTGGTGATTGATATAAGTGGTTTAAATACAATTTTGTTCGATTCAACAAACGTTAAGGTGTGAGAGGCAGTCGGCCATAGCGAATCTGAGCTCTCTCTGCCTCCTCAATCAACCAGGATTTATGAAAATAACGCCAGGCACCAGGGCCAGGCCCTGGGGATACTGATACTCCAAAAGTGGTGCACGTCCTACACTTGGCGACTTGATACTTCTGATGCTTTCTATCTCAGTGACACACAGCAAGTCACTTCAGTGGGCCTCAGTTTTTTCTCGTGTAAAACCAGGTTGGACTAGAAAGCTACAGAAGTCCTTTCCAGCGCTTTATCTATGATCCTAGGAAGTTACAGGTGGGTCCCTGATTTGCACCCCGAAGAAATCACCGTTTTGAAACAACTTCTTCCTTTCCCTCACCCTTCAAAAAAAAAAAAAGGTACAAGTCACCATGCTAGGAGCAGGGCACGGGTCCTGCTTTCAAGATGTCTACACTCTAAGAGAGGGAGAGGAATAGGTATATTCAGAAATAATTAGGATACAGGAGAGAAACGTGAGAAGAGGAGTTTGAGGGAGGACAGGTAACTCGTTGGGGGCGGAGGGCAGGTTTCCCGGAGATGGTAGCACCCTCTCCCTTTCCCTAAGTGCCCTTTCTCTCCACCCTCCCCCGCCCTATCCCTCTCTTGCTTCTCCGGGCGCATCATCACCTGGATCCTGGACTCAGGAAGCCTGGTGAGGGTGGCCAGGCGTTCCCGCAAGGTGATGTCCGGGTACATGGTCCGTCGAAACACCAATTCCAGCAGCTGCAGCTGCTCGGGACTAAAGGACGTTCTCTTCCTGCGCTGCGACCCTGACCCAGACCCCGACGGGGCTGGCTGACCCTTGAGCTGCGGCGCTGCAGGCGCCAGGCTGACTGGAAGCAATGAAGCTGGCCCGGATCCAGGCCCGGGGTACCCCTCGTAGGCTGCCGCCGCCGAGGGTCGCAGGTCTGGGCCGGAGCCCGAGGGGGGCGGCTGGCAGGGAGCGCCCCCGGGGCTTGGGGGAGGGAGGTAAGCACTCCCAGGAAAGCTGGGCAGGTAAGCGGGATACTGGGGGCTCTCCCCAAACTGGAGCTGGTTGGGCGCCGCTGTTGCCATCGTGCAGACGGGGTGGTCATCCTGCTAGTTACTGGGGCACCTCCGCTATTATACAGTTCCCAGGACCGAGGGCGGGGCGGGAAGGTACAGGACAGAGAAGATCAAAGGCCGGGATGGGAAAGCCAGGGGCCCCTGACCCCCGGCCCCGCTAGACACCGATGGGTGATAATCGCTTCCGTAGGCGGGGCTTGGTCTGCAAGTCCAGGGAGGGCTATAGGGGGAGGCGTGAACTTGGGTCCCCCAGCCTCCCACTGTGGACAGTTCCTTCCTTCACCTCCCCCAGTCCCTGCCTGGCCAATCCACATCCCTAACTCTAAAGCTTAACTTTTGATTCTGGGGCCCAAAGTGGCCCACGGAGTTCAGCGGACACAAGGAATGGCTGAAGTCTGGGTATTTCTCTCCCCGTGGGTTCCCACGGTCCACTCAAGAAAAAAGAGCCTAGGAGAGAGAAGACTTGCCACGATTTTCCCAGGGCACTCCGTGACCTATCCTCTCCCACCAGTCACCATCATAGCTACCCTGCTAAGGTGCTAGACCAAACACTAGGTTGGTCAAACAGTCTAGCTCCTCATCTCTGGGAAGCTGACATCCTGAAATACAGCAGCCACAGACCAGAGGGTCCATCCAGCATGTGAGAAACAGAGCTTGGGAAAGCATGTCTCTGGGTAAAAGACACCCTAGCTGGCTGCTCTCCTGGGAGCTAGTGTCCTCCTGAGGATGGACTCACACAGTTCAGCAGTAGTGATGACTTCTGTAGCACTTTCTCCTGAAAAGATGTAATAAAGCCAGATTTTAATGGAAGCAACACCCAGGACCTCTGTGGCCCTGAGGTAGACTTGCAGTTCATCTGTGAGAAAACAGATTCTCAGAAGCCAGATGACCTGCTGTGGTTCTGGTCCACAGTGAAAGAAGAAATACAGACTCTTATAGTCCCAGCTTCTCATACCTTAAATCATACTACATTCCTTAAGCTGGGATCCTTAACCCTTTTTTGTGTGTTTTGGACCTCTTTGGCAAGTCTGGTGAAGGCTGTGGAACTGTTCTCAGAATGATATTTTTCATGCATACAAAGGAAACCAATTGTATTGAAATAATTATCAAATTTTTTTTTCTTTTTTAGGTCACAGATTCCAGGTTAAAAACCCCTGCTCTGCAGGCCACAGAGAGAATCTACTTATTTAAAAGAATGACCCTTAATACAATCCCTCCTTGACATTTTTCATTTTCTTTTTAATTGTGTAGTGTACAGAAATTCTGGGGACAGTGGTAGGGTATAGTTCTGAGCCTCAACCACGTGGGTAGAATAGGTATCCTGTGATTTGGGGACCACTGAAGGGCACCTGAAAACATTACTGGTGATACTCTTCCATCCTCTAAGAACCACATTTTTAGAATTTGCCTGAGAACTGATCAGAAGGAGACGTAGGCAAGAAAGGCAGACTTGTGACTGCCATATTAAATTTGAAATAAACAAGAAAAAACACAAGCAGTACATAGGGGAGATTTATAGTTTCATATGCAGTCCTTTTTCTGTTTTCTACATAAGGAAATGTTCAGGTTTGTTAATGTCTGTCACGATCATAATAATAGTATTTCAGGGACATGTGGATTCAGGTTCTGCCTTTAAATGAGTATTTAACTTCTCAGTGCTCTGGGCAACTCTCTCAAAGTAAAAAAGTCCCAGCCTTCTTGGGGTAGGAGTTTTCTCAAACTATACCAATGTGATCACAGGTCCCATCCAAGTCAATCAACCTCAATTTCTTCATTTATAAAAATGGAGATGATGATAGTATTATCTGTCTCAGAGCTGTTGAGAGGAAAACACTACAGAAGTGGAGGGAACTATTCTCACTTTGCAAAAGTGCAGCTTCAGTGGCCCGGAAATGGTGACCAGGTTAGCATGAGCATCTTCCCAGCCTTCATTTGGAAGGTCATTTCATCCAGTGTGCAAGCTTCAAGCTTTTAGAGCCTCGGTTTTCCCCTTCAAAAAAAGACCATAATAAGGATGATTCACATTTCTACACTGCTTTGGTTACACTTTCCTCAACTGTGCTTTGAGGTAGACTTTGAAAGTATTACTGTCCTCCTTTTGTAGAAGGGGAGACAGAAGAAGTAGAAATCAATCAATCAGTCAACATTTACTAAGTGCCTGCTATGTGTCAAGCACTGCTCTAAGCATTGGGGATGCAAAAGGTAGTCCCAGCACTTATAATTAACAGTGGAGACAGCATGCAAACAAATATATACAAAACAAGCTACATACGGGGAAAAATCAGAAATAATTAACAGAGGGAAGGCACTGGAATTAAGAGGGATTAGTGCAGTTAAAACCAGGAAGAATGAGGTTCATATGCTCCTCTGACACCAGCTATGTGAGCATGCTCAAGTCACTTAACCTGAAGAATACTCAGTTTTCTCATCTGTAAAATGGAAGCAACTTATAGAAGCTGCCTCAGAATTGTGAGGCTAAAATGAGAAAATGCACGGACAGCCCCATAAAACCTTTAAAGTGCTATAAAAAGAATAGATATTTTAAATATAAATAATAGATTTTTTTTAAAAGAAAAAAATGTTGAAGCACGTGTTTTTGGTCTAGCTGGGAGTCAGTTGCCTGGTCATTTGACTGTCTTTGCCAGTGGGGGTAATTCTCAAGGTCATGAATCAAGGAGACCATGGAATACTAAAAGTTCTTCCATGCAAGCAAACTTGCTTTTAATCCAATTGAAAACTATTCTGCTGGCTTATCATAGTGTCTGGCACATAGTAAGCCCTTAATAAATGCTTGGTTTCTAACTTCAGGCTCCCAGACCCATCTCTTTTATATAAAGGCACTAATAAAATAGTAAGCAATTTTTCACAAGTGTTAGAGATGATTAAAATTAGCACATATTAACTCTTTTTTTTTACATGTTAACTCTTTAGCACCTCTTTTACCCACATGTCAAATAGAGAGTCATACTGACTGCCCCTTCCTCTCCAAATAATGCCTGTAATAATTTTTCTTACAAGAAAAAATTTCGATGCCAGTTTAATATAGCATTTAAAAAATGAACCCTAACAGTTGTTTTCATCCCTGAAGAGGCGATCTAAGAATAGAGAGGTAAATTCAGAGGAGTAAACAGGCATTCTAGCAAGACCTTACCACAAATCTTCCCCCAGGAAGTGGGGAGTCATATTTTCATTGTTTTGCAAGTCATCTGTTTTTCCATAACATTTGCTGAACGAGGCACTATTTTAGGTACGGTTGGAAGTTTAAGGAGAAATAGAAAACAGTCTTTGGAGAATGTTCCCATTTAATAGGTAAGCATAAATACAGTATGAAAGACATAAATCAATGACAGCTACCTTATCAGACATATAACTAAGATGAGTTATTCAGAGATAAGCAGCTAGTTTTTATTAAGCTCCTACTGTGTACCAGGCATGGTGCTAAGGATGGGGGTTATAAAGCAAGCCCCTTCCTGCTTGTCGTCCCCCCCCAAAAAAAAAAAGTCCTAAGTGCTGTGGGGTTAGAGTGACCTGGGTCACTGCAGTTCTAACCCGTTTATAATTTCTATTCAAAGTTCCTGTTACCATTTTAGCCAAATAATAGCACCAATCCCAGAGTTTCCTTTTAAAGTGCTAAATACTCTCTTCCCCAGATCTGGCTTTGTTTTTCAAGGCAGGCTCTCCTCCCCGACCTAAGACTCAATCTTGCAACTTTAGGTGTTTATTGAAGAGAAACCCAGGAAAGAACAGCGGAGGGAAGTCAATAGCCCTGCTTCTAGTTTCTCAGCTGCCCAGGTGTTTGCCTCTTTGATCCTTCCGTACTTGTGAGTAAAGTCAAGGCCTACCCACCAGGTTGCAAAACCACCCTTTCTGTGGAAGTGAAAGACAATTTTTAAAAAATGACTCCCTCTCCTCCCCCCAAAAAAACAAATACAAAGCAAATTTTAAAATGCCTTGAAAATTTTACTGTGTGTTTATCAAGGGCAAAACAAGTCCAGAAAGTAAAAAAAAATGATATGAAATGAAGTTTGAACACAGCACTGTTAAATTCTTTTTGTATGCATCACTCCCTTCCCCCCTCTTTTTTTTAAACCAAAAGATTTTCTCCTGTGAATCTCTAAATTAAGCCACCTAACTCCACAATGATGTTGGTGGAACATTATTAACCTCAAGGAGATTGAAGAGAATAGTGGAAAGAGTTCTGTATTTGGAATAAAAAGACCTGGGTTTAAATCCTAGGTGTTTCAATGGGTAGAGTGCTAGGCCTGGACTCTGAAAGACCTGAGTTCAAATACAACCTCATATACTTCCAAGCTGGATGACCCTGGGCAAATCACTTTACCTCTGTCTGCCTCAGTTTCCTCAACTGTAAAATAGGGATTGTAATAGCACCTACCACCCAGAGTTGCTATAAGGATCAAACAAATGAGATAATATTTACAAAATGCTTAGCACAATGCCGGGCTCTTAAATTTTTGTTTCCTTCCTTCCTGTTCCAATCCCTGACTGGATTTTGGGGAAGTGTGTTACCCTCTCTGGACCTGTTTCCTTATGTATAACAGGAGGAGGTTGGACTCTTGGCCTCTGAGGCTCCTTCTAGCTCTGGTTTTATGTCCCACGAAGCACAAGGACATCAAGGCACTGTCAACCCTCCAAGTAAAGTGAGGAAGAAAGAATTCTGATCAGTCCAGTCACTAATGGAGAATTCAGAGGACTGATGATGAAGGTGTCCTGCCTCTAGAAAGGTGATAGACTTTGGTTGTGTAGAATGAGGCAAAATGATCACATAAGGCCATTTTGCTCGTTTGTTTTTGCTTAACTTACTTCTTTGTTAAAAGAAAAGGTCCTGTGGGTTGTTATGGGAAGTCATTAGTAAGTGACAACAATGTAAAAAAAAACAGTAGCAATTTTTTTTTCAAAAATAAAGAACTGGAGGCAGCTAGGTGGCACAGTGGATAGAGCACCAGCCCTGGATTCAGGAGGACCTGAGTTCAAATCTGGATTCAGACACA